ATATATATATATATATGTATATGTGTGTGTGTGTGTGTGTGTATACAACTTATACAAGCTAATCTGCAATTACTTACGCATAAAAAATTAAATGGTACATGCATGCATAATTCTGAGCTAACAACAGTTTAACAAAAACAGCTAACAAAAATGAGTTGTCCAAAACTTAAGAAGTGTACACTGGATGATTTTTGTTTTTTATGACTAGTCCCACAATGTTCTGGAAAGCACTAGAATATCACAAAATATTACAGAATGTTACAGAAACTTCTAGAATATTTCCATCCTTGCAAAAGCAACACGTCTTTAAAAAAAAGAAAGAACATGCAAATTTACCTGTACTAATCCGATGTTTCATAATTAATGATAGAAGTTCTAAAATTTACCTGACCTAAATATTTACCAAAATTGATGCTACTTGAAAATAAATAGTACATAGCACCAGAGAATTACAGAGGAGCCATTAAAAAAATAAGTGAAACTACATTTGATTACATTGTATTGTATGAATCAGTCAGTACCAGAAAATATCAATAAAAATTGTTAAATAAAATTAAGATAATAATAATAAAATCACTAATTTACTCAGTGTATTTCTAAGCTAGTATCATGTTGTTAGCCTAGCAACATGTTATCATGTTAAGTTTTCACTCGTGGGACATTAAGAATTTGCCCTTATAAGGTTCCATTTACTTAGTCTGCCTTTTATTTAGGCATTAGACAGCAAGTCTAAAAGCAAACCAAGAACATTCTTTGGTTCTTAGACTCAAGCCTGGCAGAAAAGTTTCAGTTCAGAGTTCAATTCAAGGCATCAGTCAAGTCAGTAATAGCTGACGTCCTTATTTGATTCAGCATCACGTTAAACAGACTGCTTTTCTCAAGCAGGAAAGCCTCTCATTGTGATGAATGAAGTTTTATTGGTTTGTGTTTATTTTATGTTGTATGTCTTCATTATAGGGCGCTTGACGCTAGACGAGAGAGCTCTTCCAATTAGTGTTGCAAACCGCTAAACCTAAGGTACCTGTGATGATTCTTCTTCTTTTTTTTTCACATTATAAAAACATTTGTGATATATACCGATAGATTGCCTGGTGATGCTGTATGTAATTCTGGTCATATTTTGCTCAACAGACACTTGCCTTTTTTAATGCAAGAAGAGGTCCTCTTCAGCCATGGTGGACTTTGCAGGGAGATAATTTGTGAAGATGTAAATGGACTTTTGATTTTATGTGTTTATGGATGAGTGTGCAACCATCACGATGGATTGACAGATTGTGATCTAAAACAATGTATTTGTGATTATGTTTACTGTTGTTACCGATGGGCTGATTTATTACTGCATTGTCAAGGCCATATTCATAAACACTTGTTAGTGACACATATCCGTATCATCTGATCACACCAGATAATGCAACTATACGTCCGGGCTTCATGTTGGTTCCTCTCTTTTTTTTTAATGGAAAGCCTGTATTTATTTCTTATGGTTTTTCATTTGTCAGTGCCTTCACTTTGATTGTTTCTCTTTGTTTTTATGTGCAATGTGGGACATAATTTCTTGTGTCCTAAAACACAGACTGACTGAAGAGAGAACGTTTCGCAATAGTTATACTATTTTAATGAATACAGAGAAAAGTAGTTCCATACTTATATTTGCAACTTTAGTGTTTAGCCCTCATGACAATTTTTTTGTTTTGTTGCAAAAACAGCTTATTGAATAAGAATTTTCACTATACAAAATTGATTTTAACTTTCCAATGTTTCTTTTAGTAATGTGTTTTCTGTTTAGTGACTATCCTGCAGTTAATTTTTCTACTTTTGTAAAACACTTACCACACACACACACACACAAGTCATTTAATCAAAATGTTAATGTCTGTTATCACAACAGATTGCTCTATTTATGTATATTTTTAATATCGTTGATTTCCACAATGATTTTCATGGTGGTCACAGCACAAGTTCTGTTTTACGAATAAAGAATAGTGCACAACATTGTGATTTATTGTTTGATTTACAATTTATCGACAAATTAATAATCTACAAATAAATGACTTTGGACGCACCAGAAATTACATGTACAAGTGTGTGCAATTTGCTTTACAAGTTGGATTAGAAAAAATTTTATTCGCAGGGAAGGTAATCTGTTTGGATGCTTATTTTCATTTTCTATGAAAAGCTCTTTTAGATACTGTGATTCTTTGTCAGATTAGCCTCTGCACTGTGTTCAGGTACTTAAGATAACGTTTGCGTATTTGGCTAAACTCTTACCGCTACTAGGCATCTGCCAAAAGCTTACTCAATGACAAGTTGCCATAAATATACTTGGTCATGCTGAAGGAGATGGCTATTAACTAATTTGTCATTTAGCTGATGCTTTTATCCAATGGGACAAATCCAAAGTCCTATTCTGGAGCAGTCTTAACCTCAGGCGGCATAACCACAGACTCCCCCGCAGGTTAGGAAATTGGATTTTTGAAAGCTACTAGTGGCTCACTATAACTACACCAGCTCCTGCCAGGCTATTTTCTAAATACGAATTTGTAATGTAGCAAATCTTTTTAGCCAATGCAAAAATTCTGTAGTCCGCGCAGATCTAGACAGTAGGGATGAACCGAAGTGCCACAAGATGATTGTCTCCATGCCACGCCACACTGATGCAGTAATTCATGTAAAAGGAGGCCCAACCAAGTATTGAGTACATGTACAGTAAATTAATATACTTTCCAGAAGGCCAACAATTCACTAAAAATATATTTTTTATTGGTCTTATGAAGTATTCTTATTTGTTGAGATAGTGAATTGGTGGGTTTTTGTGAAATGTGAGCCAAAATCATCCCAATTAAAAGAACCAAAGACTTAAACTACTTCAGTCTGTGTGCATAGAATTTATTTAATACACGAGTTTCACAATTTGAGTTGAATTACTGAAATAAATGAACTTTTCCACAACATTCTAATTTATTGAGATGCACCTGTACACCGGTACAAACAAATATGGCTGGGGAAAAAAACTCATTCTCCCCTTGCCTTATATCGAAATCATTTTTGCTTTCTCCTCTGTGCTTCTCCATTCGTCACTCTCTCCACGGAGCTTACGTTGCACCTCGTCCTCGTTGCACAACTCCTTGTCGTGAATGCGCCTGCTTGAGCAACCGGAAGCTGGAGATTACAGTGTATAAATGTTTAAAAATCAATATTTTTCTTACACTAACACATCGTTTCGCTTCAGAAGGCCTTTATTAACACCCCGGATTTGTGTCGAGTAATTTTATGATGGATAGAAGCACTTATTTCGGCTTCAAAAACAGGGGCACCATTCACTGCCATACAGCTTGGAAGTGCCAGGACATTTTTAAATATAACTGCGATTGTGCTCGTCTGAAAGAGGAATGTCAGATACGTCTAGGATGCCCTGAGGGTGAGTAAATCATAGGCTAATTTTCATTTTTGGGTGAACTATCCCTTTAACTCTTTAATTTTAATGATACTGAATTTAAAAAACACAAGCCAATAAAATAATCACACTTACAGAAAAACCATATGAACAATCACGTTAAAATCACATGTGAAATGTGTGAAACACATGTGAAACTCATGTGAAACTCATGTGAAACACATGCAACACACATGAAACATTTTCATGGTGTAAATGTGTGAAACCCATGTGATCACATGTGAACACGTGAACAAATGTGTTCACGTGTTCACATGTGATCACATGGGTTTCACACATTTACACCATGAAAATGTTCCAAAACCACGTTTCATGTGTGTTTCACATGTGATTTTAAGTTTCTGTAAGGGTTATTGAAAGTCACACAATAAAATTGGACAGAAAATATATTATTATTAAATATCAATATATTATTTTATTCGATTCTATGCAACAGAATTAGATTTAACTTTTTTTTTTTTGACTAGACTAATTATCCAAATATTGTATCGTTGTATCGTCCTATTATTATTATGTGAGCAGAGCATAGCGGGGAGCAGATCAGTGAATGAGATGGTAGCGTCATTTTACCATTTTACCAGTGTTACAGCAGAGCAGCGCTATAGAGTGGTGGAACTATTACGTCACTTTGTAGGCCAGTCGTCTGTTAGCATCACACTGGTTCCCTTGACAAAAAACCAATAGGATTTTTCCATAGGCTTTTGGATTATCGTAAAAAAAAGAAGAACATAGTTCATGACACTTACACGTTTTGTCCATCAAGATAATCTTCAAATAATATAACTTTTATGAATTTTGAAGCCAATAAATTTCAATACAATTAGAGTGCATTAATCTATTAAATAACAGCAGCGTGAGCACGTTTTTGGATATGGTAAGATTACATTTATTTTAGTTAATAAAGTACGACATTTCCACTATCATTTTGTTAGGGTGCTTACACAAAATTATATTTTATCCTTGCTTTTAGAAAATCCTCAATCTTTCTGCTTTCTAACAGCTTCATGTGGCCGTAAACATTGTAGCGTAGCTTTAAGCACTATGAATAATTAAAGTTTCACTTTCACCATGACCACGTAAAGCCAGTAAATGTGGTGTTTACATGGAATAATCGTAATATGAGTTTACTTTATGGTACGAGCCCAGAGTCTCCGCATCAGTAGGAAACAAGCGATAATACCACGGACCTTATTTTAGGGGATTTAATCTAACTCCCATTCAAAAAACCCATTGACTCCAGGACGATGGAACCGTAAGTTCTAAAGCTTCCGGGTTTTTGCTTACAAAGTGAAGTCATAGTTCCACCACTCTGTTGCAAACAGGAATAACTATACTGCATAGAAATTTCCTGTCAACACGTTATTTGAGCGGATTTTGCTTTTCCGCTGAGCATGAGTGGAATGCACATTCATAGAGCGGAATATTGAACGAAATGTCACATCGCGTAGTGACGATGGCTAGAGGGACAGTGAAATCTGCCATTTTCGGCCGATAATTTCCGGCGGCCAAAATTTCAGTGCATCGCCAGACAGCATAACCATGTACTGCCTACAACCTTTTCACTGACGTCTGATGCATATTGAACACAAAATGGGAAACTACTAGGGAAATTAAAACATGTCCAATCAGATTCTATGAGGATTTTTGAGGAAGAACCAGATTTTTCAAAGTTTGCAGGTTATAGAACCACATATATGAAAAATACTATGAAATAGTTTGTTTGAAACGCTTAGTAGCAAGAAACCAGTTATCCACAACCATAACACTCAATTTGTTTTTGTAAATTTTTACATTAATTTGTTTGGTTGTTCTCTGTACTACCATTATCTGAAGACACTAGGCACCAAGGTTTGAACTGTTGGCACTGGCCAATTCTTGGCCATAAATTCGCTGCCAAGTGGACAGAAATGTGTCAATTGTCTGTGCAAAACTACCTCAAATTTGTGTTATTTGTACTAGGACATAATATAAATAGTTCCTGGATTGTCCCTTTCAAGTTTAAACCTACAATTTCCCCAGATATTATAAAAAGCAAATAGCCTCTTCAGCTTTTTTTCTTTAGCAGGTCTGTCAAACCCTTCTCATGGAGGGCCAACAAGTGTAGTTACAGCCTGTTCCAACACACCTTACTGTAATTGTCAAGTAATCTGAAGTCCTTGATTAGCTGACTGAGGTGTGTTTGCTCACATTTGGAACTAAACTAAAAAAAAAAATTTGGCCATCTAGGAGCAGGGTTTGACACCCCTGATCTAAAGCAACTTTGACTACACTTATTGCGTAGGTAGTTTGACTGAAGCAAATTGGGTGCCTTATTCAGTGGTGATGGAATCCCCCAAAAGTACACAGATTTCCTGTCATTGTCAGGAAAGTCCCCTTGATCCCTCACATTTTGGGCAATGTAATGCATGATGATGCATCCTAAACACAATCTGGTTCAGTGTCATCTCACCAAGCCGAGGTTATGCAATACTGGTTTGACCGTGACTGTGGAAAAAGTAATTTCAAAACTTCCCTTGGATGCTCCAATTACCCCGGTTCCTGAGATGAACTGGAAAGTCAATGTCAAGGAGTGGATAAGGTTTCCTCAGACAGCTTTTTTATCTCCCATTTTCTGTTCTTTTGTGCTGTCTAACCTTCTCTTCTTCCCTCACTCTGCCAACTCTTTTCAAACGTTGTCCAGAAGACACTCAACAAGTGGCATCAATAAAACAAATCCTTGTGCCAGTACCGGGCGTATAAGTTAACTCCACCATGGAACAAGTGACTTAACCTTTGGATGTACAATGCCTGTGATGTGTGTCTCCTCGAGCTCAGCCCCTACAGCTGGAGAAAAAGAGAAAGAGGGAATCTCCCGCTTCTCAAGAGGAGAGCCACTGTTATGTGGAAATGGTGAGGCAGCTTCCTTGGGATATCTTATGAGCCAACTCTCTGTCCTCATCCTTCATGAAAACCTTAAGTAACTCAGCTGTTGCGTGATTCTGGAAAAATGGCAGGCCTTATGTTGCTGATCTGAGCCTTCACTCAGTGCTGGCCCCACCGGCAATTGCCTCCAGTGGATGAAATGCAAGAAATGTTGCCTGGATCTCCAAAACCACAACACGTTTACAGTTAGCCCCCATCCGGAAGTGCCAGGACATTTTTAAATATAACTGCGATTGTGCTCGTCTGAAAGAGGAATGTCAGATACGTCTAGGATGCCCTGAGGGTGAGTAAATCATAGGCTAATTTTCATTTTTGGGTGAACTATCCCTTTAACTCTTTAATTTTAATGATACTGAATTTAAAAAACACAAGCCAATAAAATAATCACACTTACAGAAAAACCATATGAACAATCACGTTAAAATCACATGTGAAATGTGTGAAACACATGTGAAACTCATGTGAAACTCATGTGAAACACATGCAACACACATGAAACATTTTCATGGTGTAAATGTGTGAAACCCATGTGATCACATGTGAACACGTGAACAAATGTGGAC